ACACGATTAAAAATAGTTATTTACATTATTTGCAAGCTTGGGTTGTTAAGCTTGTTCGGCTGGTGTGTAAAAAACCCTTCATCGATTCTAACCCCCCCCCCCCCCCCGCCCGGGGAGTACTCCCTTTATTGACCTATACGGGGAAACCCCGCCTGAAAGGAGCACCTTTTTCAGGATTCAGGTATATAAAAGGGTATAGGTAATTCACAAAATGAGGTATGTAAAAGGGTAGAGAAATCTGTCATTTAGATACGACGTGAACCTGGACTGAATTAATAATACTTGTGTTTTGGTTGACATCTTTTCTGGTAATGCTTGATGTTCTCCAGTGTTGCTGTTCGTTAACTTCATCCCAAGGGTTTAGAAAAGGCATATAGTGTTCTTAAGTAGGTATGTGAATGGGGTAACCTTTCTTTCGATGAAAGCTAGGTATGCGGAAGGGATGGCTTTTTGAACTGTCAAAATGGTATACAAATGGGTCAGCCTTTCAGAGTACCCCGGGGGGCTTTCAAGTTATGTAATATACCAAAACAATAACGAAATAATTTGGGGTTTCTTTTTAAACGGAGTGTAAAAAAATTGTTCTGAGCTAATGAAAAGTTGATTGGAACAGTGAGGAATGGATGTGTGGCTAAAAAACAGAAACTTGTTTGAATGTCAAAATGACTAATTGCTTTTAACTAGCTTATCTGTAGTTCCTACACTATCTTTACAACAAACAAACTATGCTACGCCGGAGGAATTTGAAAACGGAAGTTTCACTCTGAAAACGCACCAAATGTCGTTCCATCCACTGACTACGCCGAAGGAATTTGAAAATTAAACGCAACGATAATCGGTCATCAAAACTCGTTCAGGGCCGGGATCACATTATCTACGCGATGTCATCGTTTTCAAAAAGCTCAGATTTCAAAATGTTTTCCGTCCACAATGAGGGTGGGTTCCTTTGGGGTGATCTGGATCAGGATCAGTGATCCAAGATCACTCGGATCAGAGTTCATCAAAGGAACCGATGAATCCGTGACCAGAGTGGATTCATCGGTTCCTTTGATGCACCATGATCCGAGTGATCTTCGATCACTGATCCTGATCCAGATCAGCTTAAATGCAGGCACCCTTGCTGTGGACGGAAAACATTTAAAAATCGCCAACCTGGCGTTTTAAATTCCTCCGGTTTGACTTAAGAACGTTTTCGAAAAGCTCCGTTTTCGTAACGGGTTAATTAGTGTGGATGGTAGGCCTAACCGTAGAAATAAAGCTGCGTTTTCAAATTCCTCCGGTATAAAGTGGACCGGGCCAAAAAAACTCACTTTTATGATACTCAGACAAATCCAGGCCTGAACGGCCGAACACCGGCCCAGGATCCAGTCCATATCACTCGAATAAGCAGAGAATGGAGAAGTAGAAACAATACAAAGACAAGTGTACCGTGAAGCAAAACCCTTCGTGATGACCCATCTGTGACCAGCTGTCGCGAGTGGATTACTCTTTTTAGCTGTATCACCCCAAGTTAAAGCAACCACCGAAATCTGCCGCCACACAATGGACCACCTTGGCCCACGGCCAATTCTACCGGTATTAGCACAGGATGTATCAATACACACACAAGCTATATGTAGTCAAACAAACTACTCTAGATAGCTCAATCTTAAACTGCACTCGCTTGTTTTCTGGTAGTCCCTCTTGCTACATGGCTATGAACTTCTTCTGTAACTCAATTTCTTTTTCATACGTGACAAAAACGGTATAACTGTACGACAACATTTACTCGCCAGTGCAGAGCGGAGCAAAGAGCTTCGTTTCGAATATTTAAGCGTACCAAAGGCCACTTTAGACGCTACAACTTGTTACGACAAGCCTGGGACACGAAACGTTTTGTCAGTGGAAATCAAACCTACAAGACGCTTAAATACAACTATCGTCAAAAAGTGGCGTAGTCTATTAAGAATGTTTTCATAAGTGATGCACTCCAACAATCATGGCCTCAGATGATGTTTAATCATTGGAAAAAATTTCTCAGTGACGATCGCCCCCGCTGTTGACTGAGCATGCCTAAAAATAAAATTTCTATCTTTTATGCTGTACCGGTGGAGTAAATGGAACCGGCTGACATTAATTAAGGATTGTTTAATTTGTCTATGTCAATGTGGACGGACATGTACGTAAAAGGCTTTTCAGACAGTCTCGTGACCTTTAGTCCATGCTTGGAGACCCAGGGGCAGCGCAGATGATCGGGCCGGATACATAAATAGCGCGATAGCGATGTAGTGGTGTAGTAAATAGTTTACAAGAGATGCGGCGTAAAAAAAATGTTGTGATCTGTTTTGTGGTGTAATAAATTAAAAAAAAACGTTGGACTTCTCCAGAGCTATAAAATCTATGAGATGGTGTGGTTTATTTACAACTAGCTAGGACTGTAAGAAAATATCCGTCGTAAGTTAATTTCCCCTCATCAGGATTTTATCATGCGCGCATTGTCATTCGCAATTTTCCATCGATCCGCAATTTTCCATCCGCATTTTTCCAACCGCATTTTTCAATCCGCATTTTTCCAACCGCATTTTTCAATCTCCATTTCCTCATTTTGTCATCCGCATTCGTCATTCGCATTCGTCATCCGCATTTTTCCATCCGCTTCCATCCGGTCCTTTTTTTTTAACAGAGACCCCAAATAGATATGAGAGACATTCACGATAGATTTCTAGGTCACGCAATTTGTCAACGCAAGGAAATTTCCTCTTTCTACTAGAGGAGACTTAAACTACTATCGGAAGTCTTTTTAGTAAAGTTGTTTGATATTTAGCTAGAAAATACATTGTGTCATATTGTGATCAGAGCTGTTTATCACGACTTTCAACTTTGCGGATGTGAAATAACGCAGGGATTTATATATTATTGCACCCTGTTGCAATCTTTCAGGAAGTAAAATTTTATTTTTGACACGTATTATATTCCCCTTTCAATTTGCATTTCCTTGTATTCTCTGTTACACTGGAACAACAAGACAAAAACTGTGAAAGAAAAACAAATAAACTAGGAATTTTTAAAATGGACTAGTCGCTTTGCCAATGGCCGCGCTCGAAGCAGAGTTTCAGCAAGAATTTTCAATGTTTTGATCGTGGATATAAAGCTGAAACAGAATGTGATTACGTGCAGAAATGTATACAGAACCTTTAAAATTACTTATATAGCGGAACCCCGCCTTACGGTCACCTTGTTACTATAAGGCTACTCTTTTTGTCCCAGCGAAACGCCCATACATTTAACTCCATTAATACGGCCAACGGCAACATTCTAAAATCCCAACCTCTATAATCGTTTATACGGCCACCTCGTTATTACGACCACTTTGTTCTCGCCCGAATAAAATCTCAGTCAATCATTTTCTTATTTAAATAACCCCTTTAATAGGACCACCCCGTTAATACGGTTAGATTTTTGTGGTCCGTTGGTAACCGGATTAACGGAGTTCCACTGTAGTTTTACCCCGTTTGTACGGCCACTCAAACTAGTTATGTTCATTTTTCCATTGTTAATATTGTATGTAGTGAGCGAGGGTTCTTTCTCTATCCCATCCCGGACACGCTACTCATGAAAACTGAATTTTCAGAATGTCAAATCTATCAATATTTTACGATGTTGATTACGCATTCAAAATGCATTATAGTCAAGCTTATATTATTACACATAGTCTGAGTATTTTAATCGCGTTTACGAAAATACGCGGAAACGGAAGTACACTGTATCATCCACTAGCATTTTAAAACGAGTAGCACTGGGAAGGAGAATGGAATACACGGTATACACCCTGACTGAATAGGCCATTTCCGTGTTTTCCGTTGCCTCTGTTTCAAAGCGAGTCTTCATGTGAAACCATTCACGTGACATGCAAATCAAACTCATTTTCATGTTAAAGGTTTTGTATGAGGACTCGTTTTGAAACAAAGGCTCAAGGTACCTCTGAAATGGCCTATCGCTTTTAGGGACTTGTCAGAAATTAGCAGGGGGAGGGGGGTGGGGGAAAGGAAGACAGCAGCTGGGTCACGGTTTTTTGAGGCCTTCAAAAACAAAGGTTATGAAAAAAAATGACAGGAAAAGAGGGAGGGTTCACAAGAAATTAAGCCATCATGATCGCAAAGGATTGCATTAATATTATGTTTTACAAGATAACAGAATATCCATGAAAATCAAGCCATGCAATTATTTCCTGACATATTAAAAATACAAGGTATTGAAAGTATAAATGTAACAACCCAACTTATAAAACTTTTGCTCTTGCACATCAACTGTGTTGTATATCACTCAAAAGAACTGATTTCTCTGACGGCATCACCATATCAGCATTGCTGCCGTCAAGTCATCCTCAACATTATTATCACCATTGCCATCATCATCGTCGTCGTCATGATTCGGACATTTTATTTATCCAGGGGAGGTTCATGGAATTTTAGGACGAGTTCCAGGGTCGGGTCGGGACATTTTCATCCCTTACCTTGGAAGGGTCATTTTATTTTTATCGCTTAGCTAAAAATCTCTTTCCCCTCCCCCTCCCCCCTCTGCTAATCCCTTAGCATTTGCACGCACGCGTTTTATACCGAGTTTTCTTTCGTTTATTATTATTATTTTTCCTTAGGGTAGTATTTTTTTTACGTAATTATGTATAAGATAATTGAAACCCAACAAGCCTTAAAAAAAAAAAAAAAACTCAGTCAGTTGTTTTCTTATCCCTTTATAAGACCACTCCGTAATACGGCCAGATTTCTGTGGCCCGTTGGTGACCTGATTAACGGGATTCCACTGTACTACCAAAATGAATGCGTGGAGAAATTTCATGCCATGATTTCCTACTGTAGATACGAAATCTCTTTTCAGATCACTAAGCGGCCAAGACCCAAGGATATTGGGTAGTTACCAGTCTCTCTTGAGGAAGGAAGACAAGATACTGGGGACGGATGATGACGTATCTTTTGTCATGTTTATTTACATCTAGTTTTGCAAAACAACACTTACTGTGCATGACGGCGCACAAAAAATATTGCTGAGATCAGAGCAGAAAGCTTGTGTTATAAGAAGCAGCTCCAGTCAACAATTCACTTATACTCTTGTGCGAACCAAATAGCTGTTTATATCACTTTGAATTGAAGGGAAATTTCGTTATCGACGAGAAGATGGCACTTTCAGTGAAGGCCTACATCAACCCTGACACAAACCAACAAGAAATTCGACGCTTTGCGATCGACGAAGGTGCCTCGGCAAACTTTGGCTATTTGAGGCAGAAAATAGAGCAAGTCTTTCCCTCTGTCAGGGGGAAGGCGTTTAAATTGTTTTGGAAAGGTACGTTTATTTGTTATGGTCTTAATTTTGTATTGTACGCCCGATTTCTCAAAGTTTCCGCGACAAACCGTTTCAAAGCTCTTGAGCTGTTAGATATGCTTAATTTCATTACGTATGACTTTCGATAGTTAGCCAGAAGGCTGAATATTTTCCTTCTCCCAAACGATGGCAAGAGGATAACACTTTCTGCTCTAGTTTTGTAAGTTACCTTCCACAGTAAACGTCCCTGAAAGCTCCGTGAAGGTGAAGCCACAACAGATGTGCTTTGAAACCACTACCACCAGTACGCTGCAGTTGTAGTTTTATTTATGAAATATTTTCTCTTATTCTTTAATTGTTTTCTCCAACAGATGCAGATAACGAGATGATAACATTTTCGAGCGATGAAGAGCTGGTTGAAGCCTTAGGAAGCTTTAACGGGGATGTCTTTCGTGTGTATGTGAAAGATCTAAACGACGAACAAGATGCGACTCGGTTTGTTGGTGGGTAGCCTAGAAGTTTTTCTGTATTTAGACCTATTTAAAATTGTAATCGAACGTTTTAAAAACGTTATACGTGTGAAGTTCGGACTTTACAGATGTCAGAGACCTTTTTTTGTTTTTTTGCACTGTCATCAAATACACCCCCAAACAAAACTTGACGTGGCACCGTGAAGGCAGAACATTTTTTGCCTAATCACCATGAATATGCATTTGAGTACTTTAAAAAATATAATTGGAGAATTGCTGAGAGGTTTTTTTATTGCTGGTAATTCCTTTGCAGTTTTTCCATTTTTAATTTTTCTTTTTTTAAATCTGTTTTTCTTGTTTTTATTTAACAGCAGATGAAACAGAGGACCCAGACCTAACTGGCCAAGCTCATCCTGGTGTGGTCTGTGACACTTGTGACAAGCACATTCATGGAATCCGCTTTAAGTGCGTAGTGTGTCCAAACTATGACCTCTGCATGACCTGCGAGACCAAAGGGATGCATAAGGAACATGAGATGCTGCGCATTGCCACCCCAAGAACTGCTGACAACAATTGGTTCCATGGCTTCAATCCATTTGCTTTTGGACATCATCCACACCACCCCCCACATGGCCCGTCACCACACCACCCTCCACATGGACCACCACCTCATGGAATCCCACCCTTTCACTTTGACTTTGGACATGGATTTGGCCCATGGGGGAGAGGAGGGCGTGGTCGTAGGGGAGGAGGCCGTGGTGGTCGCTGCCCTAAAGCTAAACGGTGCAACAGTGGAGGAAAGAAGTGTGATCGTCATGCAGCAGCACAGTCCAATCCAGGTGAAGTTCCTGTAGGGCCACCATTTCTTCATGCTGTGGGAGAAAGTATTGCCTCATTCCTGGGTCCATTTGGGGTAGAAGTACACACATATGCTAGCAATGAACCAGGTTTGTCCTCTTCATATAATAACGTAAACATTGCTTGAAGAGTTTTACTTGTTATATTTGACAAAAATCTTGAACTTGGCCTATGAGCGTCCAGCTCGAGTCATGCTGTGATTACCAATGACTCTGTATAGGGAAGGAAACAAAACTGAAAAAGAAAACTACAGTATTACCAGGTGTTTCTTGTGACCTTGTGTGCCATATACCATACATCTTTGATGAGTTGCTTACTTTTCAGCTGGATTTTTGAGAGGGCACGTGGTAACTGACTGGCTGACTACATTAACATTTTGGTCCATCCAACTTTCTATTTCACTCTGTGTACAGGAGAATCCCATTTCCAACAGCTGATACTTATCTACTTCTACACCTGCAATAATTTTTGGCTTTTACGAAATATATCTACCTCCCTATATATTGTGCTTTTTTCAACACCCAAGAAATGACTCAGGCTTCTTAATTCTAAAGCCCTAGATTTACAATTGAGTTAACTTATTATTATCACACATGATACATGTCTTTATTTGGGTTGTAGTGTTAATTTTTAATCATTTCATGCAGATTGTTGTCAAGGCAGATGTCAGGAGACTGAAAGCTCAGAAGACACTGCACAGGCTGGTCCTTCAGGCGAGCCCACAGGGTCACCAGCAAATGATGCTATGGAAGAAAGTGCCCCAGAGACAAGTTATGGAGAAACTTCAGAAATGGTAAGGGCTTGACAGGACACTTGTTTTAATAATTAACTGGTATTTTTAATTATTTTCTTTGTGTAAGCTGTTGCCATGGTCAAATCTGGTTTAAAGAGAGAATACTGTGTTAAAAGTCTTTTTAGAGGTTAGGCCTGGGTTGTTCAAAAGGTGGATGACGCTATCCACCGGATAAATCACTATCCAAAGGATAAGTGCTAACAAAACAAACCACGCTATCCACTGGATAGCGTGGTTTGTTTTTAAAATTATACTTACTATCTACTTTCATGTATTTGTCAATTTGGAATGTTATTTGTCTTCAAGGGTGAAGTTGTTATGGGAAAAAAAGATGTCTTGTCTTAAAACATAACATAAACATAATAGCCAGTGCAGATCTCATGATCTACACACCTCTCATCACCCCATTCATGTGCTAAATTTATAGCAATACCTAACATGTAGATTTTCATTATGTGAAATCAATGATTAATCATGAATGGCTAATTTGGTTAATACACTTTCTTAACAGGATGTCCAACCCCCTGAGGAATTTGTTTTGGTTGATGAGGAGAAGACTGCAGAGCCTCAGCAGGGTGAAGCCTCAGGGACTGCTGCTGATGAAGAGCCAACTGACCCGCTGGAGGTGGCCATAGCAAAGATGCGTGCAATGGGATTTGAAGATGACAGTGGCTGGTTGAAGCAGCTGATTACTGCCAAGGAATATGACTTGAACAAAGTTCTTGATGCCATGCAGTTTGAAGGAAAGCACTGATGTGTGCATCTTTTAATGCATCTTGCTCAATATTAATCCTGCTAAAATAGAAAGTTTTGATTTAATGTTTCATTGGTGCTGAGTGGTGTTTGTTGTAAATTATGTTTTTCAGGGTTTTAAGTTACTGTTAAAAAGAACTGTCATTTTAAATGGAAATGTCAACTAAGTCTGACTCTTAAAGGAGGTCACTCCAAAAACTTTACTTTTTTTGTCTTTGCCTATAGCAAATAAACATTAAGCTTCTCCACTCACCAAAGTTTTAGCCTCTGAAGTGCCCACTATCCTGATGAAATTTGTCTCGAAAGAAGTGACTTTGGAGCTGCCATTTTGAAACTATCTTGGCAGCCAAGTCGTGTTTATGCGACGTCATTCTGTCCAACTCGAAATTGGCGGGAAGGAGAAAAACCTGCAACTGACTTGGCATCCTTCACAAGGTCAGCAAACTCTATTTTTCCCAAGCAATTATTCACTTCATTATATTCAATGCTATTACTTTAGAACTTGGAGCATGTTTGGCACAAAATAATATGGCTCAAGAGCAGCCATAACCCAGAGTGGTAGTAAAAAGACTTGTCGGAAGCCATTTGGACAAAATCTTTTGGACGGAATGACGTCACGAAAACGCGGCCTGGCTGCTGAGTAATGTTCAAAATGGTGGCAATGATGTTCGAATTTTAGACTTGGAGACAACTTTCATAAGGAAAACCTGTGCTTTTGAGGCTGAAACTTTGGTGAGTGGCCGAACTTAGAGCAAGGTTTTCATTAACATTGACAAAAAATATACGTTTTTTGGAGAGACCTTCTCCTTTAAGGCTTACTAAGATTCCTGAAAACCGCAATCTCTAAGAAGAAAAATACCATCAGTCTTGAGAGCCCAAGTTTGGAGCTCAACAAGACATTTCATTATTGTGAGTCATTCCTGTATTCTGTCAGGTGTTAAGGGTTTGGTTGTCATTGGGTAAATGTTGTTTGGTTTGGTTAGTGAAAGTTGTGGAGGGTGTAGAAGTGTTATTATTTTAATTGCAATATTAGCAGCAATATGTGTGAAATTTATGTGTGTAGTAGCTTTGCTTGTGAGCAATTGATGCAAAATTAATTAAAAGCTCTTATGGAGAGACGTAACTACTGTTGGTTGTTCTTGCTTGTATAGTTAATAAAATCAGTATAATAATGTACAGCCATCGCGGGAAGAAAACAGAGACCAGTTGACAGGTGCCATCTCCCCCATTCTCCAGCCTTACCCTGTTCCCCTCTAAGTACAATATATCATTTCAATGTTTGTGACATCCCTTCTTTGTAGTTGTAACCCTGACTTTAAAATAACAACAACAAGGTGCATAGAAAACAAATTTTTGGACTTACACTTTGGGTAAGTTCCAATTATAATGCACTACCCCAAGAATCATTCTCACTAGCCACCAAAAAGTTTCTCTCTTTCAGTACTTCAATTTGTAATTTGAATATACTCTAAAATTTTCCTAAGAAAACTTCACTTGCCATGGGCAAGTGACAGACAAAATCCACTTGCTCAACTGCAAAATCCACTAGTTCTGAGCTATCAGAAAGGACTTCCTTTGCACACTGAGCAATCAATAAATAGACATGCCAGAACACCAGGCCCAAATGTGCTTATAAGGGTGATCATGCACCCCAGGTGAAAGGGAAACTTACAAAGCAGTATTACACAAAGTAATGTTTCCTTTAACTTGTCACTCAACGACACACACAAAAACATTTGCAAGATATGATACAGACATTCCCTTGTGTAGCGGCCTGTCTTTCTGCATTCTTGGTCAAAGCAGTGCCAAACTATGAAGTTGAATACCTTTGTCTGTACACAAAAATGCTCTTAGAGAACCAACATGAACATCTTCAGTGAATTGTCAGAGGGAGAGCAAAATGACCACTAACTTGATCAGGTGATGTCATGGTGCTTTGCAACTGTGGGAACTTAAACTGTGAGTTCAGTCAATTCTTAGAGAAAGTCTCTCCACACAAGGACTAAAATTATTTCCTGATCCCTCAAGTGTTATTTTGTTGATCACGGTTAGTATACGTAAATGTTAAGTTTCTTGACCAATTCCCTCCTCTGCTTGTAGAGCTTCTTTGACACAGCTACATGCTAAAAACAACAAATTGTAATTGCATGGCAAAATTTGTAAAACAAATACAACATCGTACATGAAGACATTTCTCTGCACAAAATGAAAGAATGAATGGGTAGTTCTTTTAATTTACATTTCTACATCGTAACCATATGTCCATCATTGTGTCATCAATATGATGATGAAGGTTTTCACCTTAAGTTTGTACAATATGTGGCTTAAAAGCATAAATGAATTATATTTTGGTTAACTTTGTATTTATAACCAGACACTAATATTAAAACACCAAAACATGATAGCAGAGTAAAACATGCTTACATGTTACTAACATTCATCAAGGATAAGAAAATGCTACCTTGATGGCTTTGATCACAAACTATGTACAAGTCCTGTAACCTTTAAATTACATCAACACGTCTTGATAACTTAACCAGTCTCAAAGAGCCTAATGGACAGTCACATGTACAATAAGGTGTTGCCATCACTTCCATTGCTGGTTTCTTTTTGCATACATAAGGTTCACAGCTAATCTACCATATTCCAAATACTTTCCTGTGTTTATAACTGCATGTACATGTACACACTCAAACCCTCCTTCAATGACATGTACATGTACCGGTAATGTGACTTATTGTTCATCATGGCAAAATTTCAATGGTTTTGTCAAGCCTTTACTCTGCTTGCTGACCTTCCACCTGGCCATCTTTACCATTCTCTCCCTCGCTTGTTACCCCTGAGTCAGTTCCGCCATCAAGTTGCTCATCCTTGGCTTCCCCTTCAGGGGCTGGGTCAATGATAACATTTTCCTTCTCTTCCTCCCCCTCGACAGAGCCACCGTTTTCTCCCGAACCCACAGCACTGCTGGGCTGACTACCCTCGTCACCTTCTTCAGCTGCTGATTCTTCTGAAAACGTGTCCCACCTCGAACTCTTGAAGTCAAGCAATCTCTGCATGTTACTCTTGCCAACTTGATCCATGCATTGAGAGTAGCGTGCAAGAAGTGTGTGGGCTAAAGCAATTCCATATTCCACTCTTGTGGTTTCTGTGGTTTCCACTGCTGCAAGGTCCTGAGCAATCTCAAAGCCTCTTCTGTACATGCGGACAGCATCTTCGTATTTACCCTGGCACATAAAAGACAACACAATAGTTACTAAAGCAGACTCCCATTACAAGGTGAGGACTGCTTGCAGGTGAGGACTGTAATTATTATTTTGGTCAAATAGGCTAATAAACTACTGAAAAGAAAGTGATCTTGGGGGTCATGCCTTGCCACCTTCTCACACCAAATTTTTTTGTGCTTTTTCAATGATCTATAAAGTGAAGGCAGGTGGCTTCAGGGACTAGCTGTTGTCTTACCAGAGAGTTATATATAGAGCCAAGACTAGTACAAGCTTTCTGTTGTTCTGGTAACTCCTGAGATCGATCGGCCAGTTCAACAAACATCTCAAGATACTTCATTGCACTTTCCACATCTCCTTGCCTAGGAACAACACACAGGTAAGTTAGATCTTTTATCACATCATACTTATATTATTGTAACTGCCAGAATTTTCTCTCTACTTGTACAACAATCCCTTTTCTTTTTTTTCTTTTTTTTTTCTTGATACTTTGTTTTTTCCTTTCCTTTCAACAAACATAACAAATTGGATGTTTTCTGCACTGTAAAATTAGCAAGAAGTGTAAAGAGTTAACAATCCGAAAAAATAAATAAATAAAACAAAAATAACCTTACATTTCATAGGCCTTTGCCAAGGCTTGACAAGCTCGCCCCATTCCAACATCATCAGAGTTCTGCTGGCATTTTTCCAAGTATCCATTATGATACTGGAACAAATGAACAAAACAAAGTGTAATGTAAAGTTGAATTTCAAATCATTTGTCACAGCAAAAGGCAAGAAAGGATCACAATAATTATTTTAAAGTGCAAATCAAAGGAACCATGAATCCTCTTCCAGAGTGGAAGTATTGGTTTCTTTGATGTACCATGATCCAAGTTATCTTGAATCAAAAATCCTAACGAGAATTTTCACAATGGAATGTACCCAAAGTCTGTTGAGGAATCAATCATGATTGAAGGACACTGGTTTTTAGGATGCTTTTGATGTTAAATTTTGAAAATGTTCTCACCAAAATGGCAGTCTCCGCATCTCCAATTTCCTCATAAGTATTTCCCAGTCGATACCCAGCTAAGCCTTCTTGTTGACTGTCGCCACCTATTGTGAAAACAAAATTTCTGTAGGTTAATATAAATTAACTTTAGTTACCCAGGACTTAATATTTACATTATACATCATTCTAGATTTCCAAGTTAGGTATTAACGTTAAGCAATAAATTAATCTGTTTCAGCTAAATTAATATTCTGACTTTTAATTACGTGTTGGATCTTAATACACCTGCTTCAAAAACATACATACATGCATGTACATAATTTATAAGCTGCATTAACCGCTAATATAATAAAAGCTCTAAGTTCTCAAGCAAGCTCTTGCCAAATACATTTTGTACATTTATTATGTGATGTCCACACTTACTTTCTTTAGCCATTCCATATGCTTTCAAGAGGTATTCTATGGACTTCATCAAATCATCTTCCTTAATCTACATGATATTTTAAAATATAACAATCAAAAGGATGAAAAAATTCAAAATTCTGAAATGATATCATGTGCATCAAACTTGCGAATCAGAGTTTACCTCATCTGCCATTGTTGTGTACACTCTTCTGAGGTGACCGCAAGACAGTGAATGAAGATTTTCTCCATTGTCTGTCTGCCATAGACGCCCTTTGGTCAAGTTGTAAAATGATTCTAAGTACTCTGCAGCTTTAAACAGATCCCCTATAATGCAAAACAGCAACAATATAAACAACTCAATTATGCAACAAGTAATAATTTATGACTCAAAATATTGAAGGTACACCATAGATATGTAGGCAACCAAATAATCAATGGCCATTTTTTTTTTTGTGGGCACTTGAGGTCATTCTGCTGAAATAGAACCTGCACTGAGAGTTTTGTGAAACTTTGCCTATCGATTGTTTATATTATAGGAACTTAGATTTTGAAATAAAAATGAGGGGTCCCCATGTTCATTTAGGAGCAAAAGCACCTTGTTTATACCCATATAAATCCAATCATCATAATTGTACTTACGATTGCTTGCTAAATTCACATTTCTGACGATTGCTTTTTGTTCTACACTGAGAATTGGTCCATATTTATTTTATACAGAGAAATTTATTACTCAATTCAAAACAACAGAAAAAAATGATAGGTCACCATACTCATTTGCGAGAAAATGATTATTTACCTCTATGGCAAGGTCCAGCTGTAAAGAAAAAGCCGCCATTTTTTAATGCGCACGCACTAATCAGGCGTGAAATTATGCGCAGTACGGATGCACAATGCAATACTGGGGAATGACCTTAAGGTTAATTTACATGTATATGAACTTAATTAAAAGGCCACAAACTGATGAGCTTGAAATTAAAGTTGTTCAAGATGCCGGAGTTAAAAATAAACCCATATATTTTTGAAAAAATGTTTCTGACTTACAATTCTCTAATCTTATCTACCTTAGATCAACTCAACTCAACTCTGGCCCATGACTCCAAGCCTAGGGGGTCATGGCACAAAGTGAAGTCTACAGATCAACTCACCTCTTTTCTCAGAGGCCAATCCCATGTTACAGTTAGCCTCTGATTCCTTCCTTCTCCCATCACCCCTGATCTTCAGACTAGTCTTCAAACATGAGCCATAAAAGTGATCTGAAAGCCAGAAGTCCTCTGTCTCCTCGAAGAATCGTGCCAGGGCCAGTAGGCTGTGGTACACCTGGTCCATTTTTCCTGCATGCACAAAAAATTAAAATCATGGTACTTCATGTCGCATGGGACTCCGCCATTTAACTGTCTCTAAGACTCACTTTCCTGCAGGCCTTTTTTAAGATGGATGCTTTAAATTTTGAAACCGTGTCAGTTACCAGTATTGTCAGTGATACAGATATGTACGAAATTAAATGCAGAAAGACTTTTAGGTTGAAAAGTGGACAATTTGTTGTTTCAGTTTGGTTCTTTTGATCTTTCTAGAAGGTTATCCATTTTGGAACTAACATGTAGTAAAATATCTTAGTTCCCACTCAGTCTATGCATCCTATGTATGTACTGGTATATTCAAGTTCACTTGATAAGTGCCACAGTGAAATAAGTTCTTCACCCCTTCTCCCAGCAGCCTCTGCTGTTGTAAGATGATGCTTTAGTTGGTCGAGTTTCTCAGGTTCATCCTCCAGTAAAGGCTGATCAGAAAGACCAGAATCTCTTCCTAAACTTTGTATATCCTGCTTCTGTTTCTCCATTAGGTTAAACAGCTCCTGGAAGGACTGATGGAAGCCTTCTTTCAACATGTCCAGACACAGATTGTGTTCATAAGTGTTGCGATATCTGCCATGACATTAAACAAATGTTGATATAGTACGACTGACACAGTCCAATCTCCCTGAGTCACTACCTCTTATAATGTAACCAGCTCTATAATAAGATCTCAGTTTCTCACACTGTACAAAATGTGGTCTTTCGTATTTGATATACTGTGCATATTACTTCTCACACTGTAAAAAATGTCAAAGCCAGTCACCTGATCAAATAGATGCCAAATGAAATTCATGAAATTAGATACATGTACAACTGTACACATAGAAAGGTTCTCAATGGCCAATTCCCTCAATGAGGTGTGCCTGCAGGGGATCATGGTTATTGCACAAGTATTCATCATTTACAAATATCCAGTCCAAGATGATGAACACAACTACCATGATTCCCTGCACCTGCATCTCCTAGATTCTCTAAGAGGGAATTGGGTTTTTTTTAGATCAAGAGTGTATTTAAGTGTGAGTTTTCAGGGCTCGACACTAATGGTAGCCAACTAGCCACAGACTAGTAGAAATTTAGTTTTAGCTAGTAGGTTGTTGATTTCCACTAGCCACTTTGGCTAGTCAACAAAATGAAATTGGCTGAACTAGTTTCTGTCTCCTTCAAGGAAGACAAACACAAAATTTACACTTTTCTCGGAAACAAGGTCAGAATTTCATTGTGGACATATCATGGTACAGGGCATGTGCTGTTCAGCACGTACATGTATGCAAATTTAAGTTTGTTTACTTTTCGCTGGGTGGTACGTAAACGGGGAACTGAACGTGTTACTTTTGTTGAAAGAAACATTTGACAAACAAGACAGCATTTTCTGAAGGCACACATCAATGCTCTTTTTTGTTATGAATTTTTTTCATGCGCAAAATAGTGCGGAACTGTAAAGAGATAACATTTCATTTAGCGTAACAATACATGGGTGATTTGTCGTTGTATGCTTACTTACAAACTTACCACTACAGAAATAATTAGATGAGAAAGATTTATTTCCTTCGACATTTAAACCAGCCATTTTTAGCAGTCGAATTTCGCCAAAAACAGTTTACAGTATTGTTTAGATAACTGTTTTGCTTTTGAAACATTTCTACAGGGCCTGTCTGTGAAGAAGTCTCGACAGTTTTTACAGTGACATCTTCGGGGTCTCGATATTTTTCCAAGGAAGTCTCAGAGAAAAACTGAGTCCTGAAAGTCTTTTCGGTAGCTGGAACTTTTTTGAAACTAGTTTAACTACACTATAATTACCAACATTATGTATTAAAGAGAGTTGCTTGTGTTGTGCTTTCAAGTCTTGCTAGTAATTCTGTTGTTATTGGACCTACCTGAAATTTTTGTGACACGTTAATTTTGCGAATTTCACGATTAAAAAAAAAAAATCGCAAAATTAAAGTGACGCGAATAAGCAAGTATTGGCAACATAACACATTATGTTACTGTTGACATATAATACCGCCATTGTGTTTTTGTTACTTTTGACGTTATTGTATCTTTGATATAGTCAGTTTACCAAATTTAAAGACATGATTAAGTAACATTGCCAAGGAAATAAATTTTGTATTACTCAAATATGCAAAGTTAAAGTGATTCAAAATACATTTTTTTTTTGCAAAATCACCAAATTGAAGTGTCGCGAAATACGCGCACCCCCAAATTGTGAAATAAACGTGTTGTGAAAATTCCATGTAATAAGGTACATGTAGCCAACCACAATGGTTGGTTAGTAAAAAAAAGTTTTGGCTAGTAACATCTAAGTTATCACTAGCCACTAGGCTAGTAAGTTGAAAAGTTAGTGTTGAGCCCTGGTTTTCATTAAGGCAGTTTGAAGACTGATATGGGAAAAAAGTTTCTGGATATTGTAAAGGTACAATCACTGAATAAATCCCCATTGCAGTAAAAGATGGCAGAGCTTCCGTGCAGCACAGCATACCAAACATGTGTAGTAATTAGTAGCTGGATATACAGTAAATTTATACAATTTAATATAATTAAACTTGTCAAATGTTGTTGATGTCATTTACATTTTTATTTTTTTTTCCTATTCTTTCATTATAATTTCTACAACTTGACACAATGGGATGAGGAAGAGAAACAAAATCAGACCAAAAGCAAAATTAAGCCACAATAGCGACGGCATAGATATTATTGAAAGATTCTGTTTATAAAGAGCTTACCTTGAAGTGTCTATCTTGTCAGAGCTAGCTGTTTTCTTTAGATCAGAAGGAGGGCTTCTGACAAATGAACCCTCAGGTCTCTGAATTCCTCTGCTGCTGCGTTGATATGGACTTCCTAAGGAAGACCCTTTGGCTGGTGGCGATGGAACATGTCTGATGACCTGCTGAGTGACCTGGCCACCTACCTTGATGGGAGGCAACTGAGTGGTTAGCGTGCTCATTTTGAATACTTTACAAGACTTCTTTAGTACTTGTGAACTGAAAAATAAAATTAAAAAAAATTAATAGCAACATGAATATTGAATATTGTCCTTCAGTAGCATTTTCAATTTTATTAAACCTGACAAAAGTTGAAATAAGGTCTGAAGCTACAGGGGGCTAAATGTAATTTAGGCAAAGTTTGAGTCAAGCCAGTGCTGGCCAGCAGTCTCTCAAGGTGATCATGCTCAGTAGGGTCTCATACAGGGTTTTGCAGGGTTTATGTGGTTTGCTTACTAGCTGTGTGAGAACGTGCAGTTTGCCTTTGAGTGTCATTTATGCCTATTGAGTGCTGAAGCTACTGTAAAATTGATTGATTTTAAAATCTTTTTCTAAAAAAATCAATTTTTGTTGCTAAAAAGCCTACCATATTATGTTCTGTCAGTGCTAATTCAGTTATCACTGCATTTGCAAGTCACAGAGACATAGGTTGGAAGTCTTTTGATGATAAACTTTTGGGCTTGAATTTTGTGTACATAGTACAAAATATTCCATCTTGAAGAATTATAACTTGCTGTAACATTGTGCCCCTACAACATGCTGAACTGGATGTCTTTGAATATCCGAGATCCCGCCAACTGCTGAATAAAGATAATAATAATCTTTATTCATTTAGATTATTATCCGTACATCGCTTTTCCTAGATATAAATACTGTTTTGTACTATAAGGACTTAAATTTATAGGTAATAATTAGCTTAACTTTGTTTATTTCGATTATTTTGTGTATACCTGTATGTCTATGTTTGTTTGTTTGTCTCCCTAACCTAAACATGTAAAATAATATTATCATTTCTTTTTAATGGCTGCCTGGCATTTTTAACCTCTACATTATTTCGGGTAGCCAGCACCCCTATCATTTTTGTTATTAATTCATAACATTGTAATAACTATTTTCTAACCCTGGGGTGAAATAAGAGATGTTATTGTTGTTCTTACAAATTGGATGCGCGCATGATCAAACCGTTTTTTTGTTTTTTTTTTCTTCAATCTATAAACACAACTGACATTTAAACCAATCTCAGTTGTTCATTTAGCCATCACATCATTCAACGGAATTTTTGTAACTTTCAAGCAAATCAAGCTGAGAAGTGATATGATCGATATAATCGAGTCAGGCTGGGCTAAATCTAGATCCAATATTTTTCATCTTCATTTGCAAGTTTTTTGCGAAAAGAGCAGTAAAAAAGGCACATGATTTCTATTTCATCTCAAATTTGCTGCCACGTGGATAAAATCTCAAGATTCTGAGCTGAAAAAAGCATGGAATTTTAGCTAGTGGGGCTTCAAATCTGGAAGGTGTGAAAACTGACAAAAGCTAAAGGCACCAATTAATGACAAAAAATGTCCAAAAGTCCCCAAAAAGTATACTTTGAGTCGATAAATCTATTAATAAAACATCAAACTCACCTTTCTAGGCTATATCTTGATTACTTCACCGAAAATAACACTTGTCTTATCCGACTGAAAACTTACTTTCGCCATGTTTTCAGTGCCATTAGCTGTGACGTCACTACCATGGCTACATTTCAAAACAATCCCATGAATCTCTACGTCCAAGTGTTTGGGGGTCGAAAAGGTGTGCGGGATATCAAAGGGAAAAGAAAGCGATGACGCAACATCGTACGAAGATCACCCGATCTAGGCGCGCTGTGATTGGTTAAAAAAAATAGATCGGTGATGGCAGCCAAAATGGCGGACCCTCCAAGTGAAGGTTGGCCTTCATTTTTGAGCGAAACAATGTCTGGTTTAGAGGCAAATTTCAACAATGATAGAGCCATAAATGAGCCCATGATGGGGGACTTTGACGGTAGGTCTTTTGGCATTTTTATTTTGGCTATTAGCACGCGTGAAATTCTCTTATTTCTGGCCAGAGAACAATGAAGCCCGCTCGTTGTTTACGCGCCAACTTTCACATGTACTCTAGTTTCATGCTTTCCAGAGTAGAAGATAAGGGTCAGATTACGTGAGTTCAGTTGATTAGGGCCTATGCCTTGAAACTTGTGAATAATTTTTTTTTTAAGTGTTATTTCTCGAGACGAACACCTCTGTTTCAACTAAGCTTACATTTCTTGTTTAGTTTTGTTTTCATGTGATAACACGCACAATTGCGAACGTAAGCACTATATTTCATTTCCTTATCGGTATATAGCGTATATCTCTTTCCACGTCGTAAGCAGGTATGAAAAGATAAAGTTTGATGTCATTTTCTGTTCTATATATTTCATTTTCCTCCAAATCCTGCAACTCTCTGTACATTTTAAGCTTATTTTATTGTTTGTTAAGAAAAGTCATGTGTTGGAAAGTTCATTATAAAAGGGTTGCAATTGTGTCTATTGACTGAACTTTGTCCACGGAATCTTGTGATCTCTGCATGCTATGCAAACATCTGTGCATCCAAAGTAATTTTTCCAGTTTCTTATATTTCCAAAACAAAAATCACCCCAGCCTGTAATGTAATATGTATCCGGATGCGAAGAGAAAATGTATACCTTGCTTGTGAAGGAGTCTGTCAGACATTTATTGTGTCAATCATATGTAAATTGTGTAGATCATGGTGTAGTCAATAAAATAAATGGTGCTTTTTGTATTTGTGTGAAAAAAAAAAACCTTTGAGGACTCTCTGCTAAATGAAGCAGTACAAGTTTTCAAAAAGCAAAACAAGATGGGATGAGTGTGTACCATTTGACAGCATATGAAAATCGTCCAGTGAAAAGGTCTCCATTTGTCTTGTTGCCGTGCGAGAGTGGCCACTTAATATAGGTTTGACTGTATTTCCTACTGAAACAACTGTGTGTTTCATCAAGGAGGGTAGAAAGAGTTTGAATTAAAGCAAATGATGCAGAGATATTTGGAGAAAAGAGGAATACCTCTGAAGCTATTCCTTTTTTTCTGCAAAAGCTTTCCAGTGGGAAGGCCAGTTCTATTAAGTTAGATCCTCTGGATAAACCAGGTTTTCCATAAAAATGGGAAATGCCCAAGGTCAAACCAGATTTTAAACCTACAGTAATCCACAGATTGAGTTACCCAGTTCACCAGTTTGTAAAGCAATCAAACTTTGATTACTGTCGCTTGCATCTAAGCGTGAACACGTGACGCTGAAACATGCTCTAATTGGGTGTCAAATGTGGCATGATTGGTCATCAAACATTTGAAGTTTAGCAGACCATAACGCAAACTTTCGCACTTTGAGAGACTCTGAAAGTCCTGCTCCCGCCAATATTTCATGGTTATACTGGAAGCAAAGCTACTTTCGCAAAAGGTGTATGAATATTGACACAGGTCAGGGTCAATTTCTCTCAAGAAGTTGTCAATGTCCAATCTTCTGCCATTTCGTGTGTTAAACTTTGAGCATGAACATTTGCGCCACGGTCTGCTAAACGTAAAATATTTGATGACCAATCATGTCTCGTTTGACACTCAATTAGAGTATGTTTTGGCGTCACGTGTTCACGCTTAAATGCAAGCGAGGATATATTCAATTTTGTTTGATTACTGAGGACAGCTGGGAGGATCAATTCATGGATTTACAAAGTATTTGAAATTCCTTGTGTGGTTAACATTGATTCATTATGGGAAAAGTAATGTCCAAAGCATATACCATCTAGGATAATGCACATGTACTTACTTTTGTTTATACAATATTGTATTCAGAGGGATTTTTGGATTACCTTTGTGGAGCAGCTGCAGACCCCAATTCAGAACATGCTAACACAACAGTTGGGGTAAATGTAAAGACGGATCCATCACAAATCATTCTTTCACCACCGATCACGCCTCCAGAGTCAATGAATACAGATGATGATCATACATCATCTTTTAGCTTTGCTGAGTACCTCTCGAAAGCAGCAACTCAACAACAAGACCAGTCAGTTCTTTCAGTGTTCCAGCCTCAAGTCCAAGTGAAACAAGAAGGTGGAGTGTTTAATGCCAGCCAGACTGTTACGGTGACAACAGAGAGTCAGAACACAACTACCCAGTATCTCCTCAATTTACTCCAAGGACAGAAGACGCAACAGGCTCCACCTGCCATGAATACCAAAACCTTAGAACAGCTTCTTCAGGAGCCATCCATTCTTGCTCCATCTTCTCAGCCACACACCGTCACTGTTCAACAACCACCGCAAGTCCAGCAACCAGCTCTTGTAACACAGCAGGTAAGTGGAGTCTTCTCAGTTTTGAGAATGACAGCTTTTCTTCTTCTTTCAAAGTCTGATAAGTATCACGAAACAAGGTAATGATCCTGATATTTGCCTTGTAAGTACCAAAATAATAGAGGAAAGTCTAAATTTAAAAATCGTGTTAAGAAATTGTCAAACATTTTTTTCAGAAAATTGCAAAAACCAGGATATCTTTTATATTAATTTATAAATCTTGGAAGAGAGAGGTCTGTACAGTTTGGCTATAAATTATTATAATTATACATGTGCAATCCTGTACATTGCATAGAAAAATAATTTATTGCAGGGACAAAACTGTTTTAAGAGAGGCAAAGAGAGCTGCTTGGAGATTTATGTTCATGAATTATTGCTCATTAATAATTATTATAGGATATACTGTGTATGCTATAAATTAGTTTTTTTTTTCTTGGGCCCTGAAAAACAAATTTGGTTCTTGAAAAGTCCTTGAACTACTAATTACTTGAAAATCCTATGTATAAACTGCAAGTTGTTACTGCCAAGTATCAGTGTTGTCTTATTGAGCTTTTGTGATTTTTTGGTCATTTTACCATCAAAAGGTTCAACAAACTTCACAGACAACTCCTCAGCTTTTGCAGCTGTTGCTACAGCAGCAACAACAACAGTTACAACAACAGCAGCTGCAGCAACTTCAACCAAAACCTCAGCAGCCAACACCACAGCAACAGCAGTACCCTGCTGTCCAACCAACGTCAAATCAGAATGTTCTGCTTCAGCAGCTTTTGCAACAGCTCGGTGTGCTCCCTAAGCAGACAGCTACTTCAGCAGCACCACAACAGCAACATGTGAAAGTTCCCGAAGAACAGCTGTCTCCACAACAACAGGTTCCTTCTCCTGGGTCCAAGTCATCGTTGTCATCAACTCCGGGATCCCCTCTTCAGCCAAGTTCTCCAGTGTCTCCTGTTCATTCGCATTTGCAGGTTGCCAGTCCCCAGACACAACAAGTGAGTGACTTCATTATGAATCCCATCATATGGACTTAAATCTACATGTACCTTAACCAAGAAAAATGAGTGCATAGGTTTCATTTTTCATTGCATTGTATATATCCACTAGGCTCATCTCCAGCCACAGATTGTCAAGACTGATTCTGCTGCCACTGTCATTGGAACTATAGATTTGAGTCAATCACAGATCCAGCCTACACTCTCTCAAGGACCCAATGGTGTCCTTACAGCTACCATTCCCATTGTCTTGGACCCTAACAAGATTCCTATCAGTCGTCTGACAAATTCCAAGGGGCAAGGGGGAGTGAAAACGGAAAAGCGTTCAGCTCACAATTTGATCGAGAAACGATACCGCACCAGTATTAATGACAAAATTGTGGAGTTGAAAGACCTTGTTTGTGGGCAAGATACCAAGGTATGGCCATAGTTGGTAACAGTATTTAACTTGTATTTTCAGTTGTTGGAGGAGGTTTAAGAGTTGTCATAGTTAATGATAAGAACTGGTGACTGGCAAATACTACCTTCAAGTAGTTCTGCGCATGCTGGGCACATAAGGAACAATCTTAAAGTTCTATTGCTTTTACAGTAACTGTCACCTTTTCATTTCTCCTCCAAGCTGAACACAATGAGAAGGATGTGGGGATTTTGCTTATAACCTGTTTGTGTTATGTTCATCATTATTTTGGTGTCTAGAGTAATTCACAATAATATTATTCACACTGTTGTTTCAGATGAACAAAGCTGGTGTATTAAGGAAGGCGATAGAGGTTATACTGAAGCTTCAGAATGACAATGCACGTCTCAAACAAGAAAACATGGCATTGAAGATGGCGCAGCAAAAGAGAGGTAAGAGTTGTTTAATTTTTGTAGTTTGTTTCGTTACAACTTTTATGTTGAAATGTGCTGGAAACCAAGGGTCATGGCACTGTACTCAACATTCCTTAATTTAATTATTAAGCTCGGTGTGTTGCCATGACTGGGTCACTTTTCTTAACAAAACCAGTATGGTGCATACATACATATTTACTTTTATTAAATTGTTAACATTACCAAGCACATTCATCAAGCATTCAACCACAACTAATATTGAACTGTCATTCGTTTATTATCAACTAGAAACCATCACTGAGCTTGTTCGAAAGCAAAAGGAACATCAGATAAAGAAGGAAATAATAGAAGAAAGTGATATCACTGACTCAGCAGTTACACAGTCTCAAGATGCCAGTGAGATTGAGGAAATCGCCAAGCCTAGCACTGTCATAGCCAATCCATTAACTCCACCAACTCCAGATCCTTTGACGAAGGACAAGACTCACATCAAGGTGGAAGCCTTGCCTGTCAGCAGCTGTGGAATGATGGATCGAACCCGTGTTGCTTTGTTTGCATTCATGTTTACCTTCTTGTTTGTCAACCCTTTGAGTTATGTCATTCCCCAGCTGGACAAAGGTAATTATGTGGTGCTTTATCTAGTAAATCAAGTCTTTGGCATGTAATAATTATATACAATATAGGGGAATCTTTGTTTGCAATGTTTTCCTCATTAGTACAATCAGTTCAGTTTCTGATCAAGCTACAAAAATGTCAGTCCTTAATATAGGGGCATAGCATGAATAATTTCCCAAAGGAATTTGAGCCCGATGTATTGAATACTCCTTTTTGCGACACTGGTATCAAAAATTCCAAATTTTACAAAGAATGTATGAGCTCATGAGCACTTTTGCCACCCAGACATTTTGCAGGTTTTGAAAGCCAATTACAAAGTTTTACATGATTCAAGCTCTTTAAATGTTTGGA